ATTTTTGTATTTTATAATCTGATCTAAATATGGACCACCATGAATTCTGCAGGGTAAGCTTATGCTGTGTAAATATGCAGTGTTACAGCAAGCAGGGAATGCTTAGCCTGTTCGCTTAGCACGAATGGTTCTACACCATGCTATTAAAATGAAGTCTGCAAAATTATAAATGCACCAAGCTGAAGGTAACTGGATAAAATATTGCATTGCACTTGCATATAATTGTAAATGAGCTTCTGAATAGTTTTATTTTGTAAATATGAAATTAGGGGGGCTTAACATATCAGAAATATGATACTTTATTCAAAAGTTATAGATTGAGACCTTTGCTGATATTGAAAGAAGGTGCACATTTTTCAAGAAGAATAATTTGATGGTTGGTTTTTGTTATTTTCTAAAGCCGGAAAAAGCATAATTTTTGTCTGACAAGGTGCATGCAATGTCTTGATATTGTAAGGTCTTAATCACCCACCACAGGGGGCACTGCCAGTCCTATCTCATGAATTCCTCCCATTAGCCTTTTTAAAACTACACAATACATGTTCCACAATGTAATTACATCATAAGAGACTTCTTGGGTTTCCTGAAGTTTTGTATTGGAACCAATAGAAAGCCAGGTTAATGGTAGAGCAAAATGAATGTCAAGATTGGTTTAAAGCAGATCCAGAAGTATCAGTTAGAAACACAAAACTTTTCAAGATGGCAGCATCTATACAACTTGTTGTGTTCCTTTAATGACAATAGTTCAGTAAACTTGTTTATGTGTGGAATAAAAGCTCCCACATGTGAATGTTGTGGTTAATGCACACTTAATGTTGTAAACATGTTAGATGTGATGTATGGTGAGTAGTCGATTTTTCTTTATAGATTTTACTAACTTTGTACTTGATCAAGACATTGATATAGGAATTTTATACTAAAGCTCTTTTAAGTATTTTGAAAATGTTTTGCATGCAAACAGTCATAAGAATTTTGTTATTTTCCCACTTCAAGCTCTAGTTAATAATATAAATTCTCAGTGGTGTTCAAAATCTATGGTATAGAGAAAGAGTAGAGGTTGCTAGCCTATTTTGCATCTCAGTGTAATTTTTTAAGAATACAAGTCCTCCTTTTGTTTCAAGGCAGAATGGGATGTTACAAGATTTTTGTAATAGCAGAGTAATATCCATTTCTAATTTTGTAATCTTATTTTTGGTCTGCCAGAGAATATCGGTAAGTTTTGCTTATTTTGATTTTTCATTTATTTTGTCCATAGTGCCTGTTATAGTTGTAGGGGGAATCTTGCACTACTTAGATTTTTTTTCCTTTTTGAAAATTTTGTGAAGGCATCTTGTAGCTAGAGAAATGAAGAAGTAGTAAAACTATTGTTAGATAGAAAGTTATATGTAGTTTTACCCCCCTAGAGTTTCTTGTCTGAAATTATTATTTCTTACTTTGTGTATTTTAACCAGAGTTCATATTAGAAGTGAGGCAGTAGAAGTTTTAATAAATACTCTCTGTAAGTAAGTAAGTAATACAGGGAGTAAAAAGAGTTGACTTAGAAGCAAAGTAAAGAAATATTTTAGTGTAAATTGTTTATTTGCAAGGAAATTCACTCATAGTATGCTAGATCACACATACACTACTTGCAGCATAGCATATGGATGCATAGGAACCAAAATACCCACATTATATTTATATTGAAAGTTGTACTAGTAGAATAAAGGTAAGGGTAGAAGAGAAACTGCTACAAGATAAAAGATGAATTTATATGTGTAAAAGGTAACTGTCTAAAAAAATACCTTCAAAACATTTTCAGAGAAAATATCATGGTAACACTTATCTCTGCAGCGGAAATGGAATATTGAGAGTGGTTTGTGATTATCCCCCAGATAATTTTGATAGGGACTGATGTAAATAAGTATCAGATTAGAAAATTTCTCTTGCTTGTTCTATATTTCAGCCTGTTTGGAATTGGAGATAGCATTGCCCATAGCAAGGAATAGAAAGATATTAATTTTGTTCTTCAATGTGTGTTAACAGTGTAAGTGCAACTTTACCAACTGGGCAGCTGAGCAATGTCCCATGGCGACGGTCAGGAGTCAAATATACAAATAATGAAGCCTACTTCGATGTGACTGAAGAAGTGGATGCCATCATAGACAAGTCTGGGGCTACAGTCACTGCTGAAATCCAAGGCCATGTAAGTCTTGTTTGTAATCTTTTGATCTACTTACTATGATTATTTTTTGACCTGTCGTCTTTTGAGTTGGTGATGAAGATATACAATAAAGTCTGGTACGCTAGTGCATAATAATTTTGAAAAATTTATTTGGATTTAACAATGACTGTCTTACAAAGAATATACCATAAATGGAATGAGAAGAGGATGTAATTGTGAAAAGTGAGGAAGATTTTCTTTCTGATTGTATTTTTTTTTAAAGATCTTCACAGGAGTAAGATTGAAAATGATTTTAGGCTTATATAGGATGTTAATTAGATGTATGCTCCAAATTAGGAAATCAGGCATTCAACTTCGTAGTAAATGTGGATATTAATCTTTAAATGCCTGAGTTTTACAGTGAAAATGAAGATAATTTTTTATATTTAATCATATGATAATGACAAAATTTGACATATACTTGGAATGAGAAAAGTTACAAATTTGTGTTAAAAAAAATGAAAATTAGCATTTTATTTACATATAAAAGAAACAAATGCATATGGTACTTGCACTGGGTAGTGGGCAATGAAGGATGCTTTTGAGGTGTAATTTTATTTAAAAATGAACACATTTCCGTTTCATATTGTTATCATTTGAACTGTCGAGAGAAAAAATGATACGGATAATTACCTGTGGTAGTTGTATGGGTCGGTGGGTAATGATCACAGAATGGTATTGAGATGCGCCAATATTTAGTCTTACTGTTTGTTATATATATTCACTTCCTGTGAGGCAGATTATTATTTTTTTGATTTATGATTAACTATGTCATATTACCATTTATTACAATATTGTTTTTAGAAAATTGAGCATTTGTTATAAAGAAAATTGTAAGGTAACTGCTAAATGGTGGTAGGATTGTCTAATCATATATTTTTTAGTGTTACCTCATTTTCAGTTTAGAAAAATAAACTAGAAAAATTTGATGAGGGATCTTAATGTCTTTTTTTTTTTCTTTAGATTGACTGCTGCGTCAAATTGTCAGGGATGCCAGATCTTACTCTGTCATTTGTAAACCCACGCCTCTTTGATGATGTGTCGTTTCATCCATGTGTCAGGCTTAAGCGTTGGGAGGTAAGTTTGTGCCTGTTGATAGTGACTTTTATTTCAGAAAATCCAGTCCATAATATCAAATAGAAACTGTAAATGAGTAGATGGAGTTCTCTTTGTCAGTTGACATCTGCTCAATACACACATGAATGTATATGTACATGTAAGAATGTACATCAAAATATAAATGAAGTATACAAAGAAAACTAAACTGAATTTTCATTTACATAATTATCTGTTGTTCTGCAGTCTGAGCGAGTGCTGTCATTTATTCCTCCTGATGGGAACTCTAGACTCCTGTCATACCACATTGGTTCACAGTCGGTAGTAGCCATTCCAGTATACATTCGGCACAATATTTCCTTCCGTGATGTAGGTGGAGGAAGATTGGATGTCACTGTAGGACCCAAACAAACGATGGGGCGAACAGTAAGTGGGTTCTTCCAGGTGTCCACTCCTTTTAGTATGGTTAAATTTTGATTTATTTTTGTCTCTTTAATGAGGTAGATACATCTTGGATTCCACTTTACTACTGGTGTCATAGCTATTATAAATATGATTTTTTTTCTCATAATTTTTCTGTTTGACTGGAAAAAAATCTTGATCCATTGCAGGTTGAAGGGGTAACCCTTGAAGTTCCAATGCCAAAGTGTGTTCTGAACTGCAACCTGGTTGTGACTCAGGGAAAGTACTCATTCGACCCTGTGTCCAAGGTGCTGCGGTGGGACTTGGGCCGCATTGATCCCACAAAACTGCCTAATATAAGGGGGAATGTAAGTTAGAACCTGTGTGTGTTTTATTTATTTATTTTTTTAAGCTGTAATCGTTCCTTTTTTTTATCTTCTCGACTTCTTTTCTTTAATGATGTTCAGTAAAATGATACTGCTGTTTGTTCTCTTTTTGGATAGGTTTTGATGACTGCTGCTTTTCTTTCAGATCAGCATACAGAGTGGGTCCCCTCCACCAGAGAGTAATCCTACCATAAATGTAAGTTGTTTATCCTTTGCTTTCTGTGTAAGTGGAAAGAACTGAGATTCTGTTTTAAGAGTTTAGTAAATTTCATATATCATAATAGCAGCTTAGCTTTTTTAGAATCTACACTTTACTTCTATAGATTATTAGCCTCAAATCAGAGTAACAGGATTTTATTTGTATATTAATTTAAACAAATTTCCTTGTTTTTCTTACAGGTGCAATTCACAATCACTCAACTGGCTGTCTCTGGTCTGAAGGTCAACCGTCTTGACATTTATGGAGAAAAGTACAAGCCATTCAAAGGTGTTAAATACATAACCAGGGCTGGCCGCTTCCAGGTTCGCACATAAGGGAAAGTTAGAGGGAATGTATATGGATGCTGTTAAAATTTCATTTCTTTAGACTGATTTTTCTGTAATAATTACATAGAGTTGTAGTTGTTGCAGCTTGTGTTTTTGCAGTTTATTTGCAATGATTAAGTTTGATAGTTGTTAAATGTTATGAGATATTTTTTTCTGGTATAATACTTTAGTATTTTTATTGTGCTTGATCAAAGGAAAGTAATTTTTCATGCTTTCTACTGGTTCTGTTGAACATTGCAGTAAAGGTATTCTTGATATGGTAGGCTGTGTTCTTAGGTGTCATAATTAGTTTTTGTTTTACATTTTGAGTATTAATTAGGCAGTGAATTAATAAAGAAATTGAAGATTATAGTAAGCTTATCCATGTAATTTATATACAAAGAAGGACCAAGGAACCTGTTTGATGAGTAGAGGAATATGTAATGTACAAGACTGTATGTTGCTTTGTCAGAGGTAACCCTAAAATGAAAGAAAAAAAGACAACTAGTATATACTTGATATAATTAACATGGCATACATTGTAAAGATAAATGTAGCTGTTAATCAATTCTTTATATATATTTCTTTGAATGATTTTTTTTCTCTCATAGTCTATTGTTGATTTTATGTTAGTATTTTTAAAGAATATTTATGCAACTAGAAAAAAAAAATCAAACAAGATTACACTAAGTTTTAAACATTATTCTGAATTTGTTACATTTGAACAGCACTCCTTGGAATCGAGATGCAGCTTCACATTTCATTTTCATAATGTTTATATAATAATACGAGATGGAACACGACTGCACAGGTCATTGCATCAAGTTTTCTGCAAGATCTTCGCTTTAAAAATTTATGAATGAATGATGAAATGGATACCAGTGATAAACAATTTGATAAAGCATGTGTAAATTATTTTGCAGAATACATTGTCCACATTTTCCGAAACTTTGCAGAAGTAGGATGGTGTTGAAGGAGTGCTGTTTTTTATCATTAATCATAAAGCATTTTTTATTTTCTTTCATAGAATTACAGGTAAATTCATTCCAGGTTTTCCTTTTAGTGTTACTGAGAATCTCCTAATTTTTTTCTTGAGTGTGTCTTCTCTCATTGTATTTTGATTGTTAAATAAAAGTTATTGTAACTGCTTGATTCTTTTTGACTGGTATACTCAAACCCTGAATGTAATCAGTTATTTGATGAAGATTGTAGATAATATAATCTAAATTGATCTTGCAAAGGAGATACTCTTGTTTTAATGTATATAACCCACTGATACCAGTAGCATGCACTGTGCACTATGGTTCTGTCTTATATTTTTCACATAAATGCCTTCCTAAAGCTATAACCACTAAAATTAATTACTAATCCTACCTGACCTCACTTGCTTACCTCATTCCTTGATTTTTTTGGAAAAAAGTATTATTCTGGTTACTTATGTTTATTAATTTTATTATTATTATTATTGCTGTTGGTCTTATTATCATTTTAATAACATTTACAATGATACAGTAATAAGACTTAAGTATTTTTTCTAAAACTTCAAGAAATGGAGTAAATGTTAGGTCAGGCAAGTTCCTAGGAACTGGATAATCATAACTAAGTGCTTGTAGAGCCACCTGTATAAATGTAAATAAAATAAAAAATAAAAAATAAAAAATGAATGGAAGAAAGAAAAGGTACATGTTTATATGCATTTCTAGCATCAATGAGTAAAAGCGATCATAAAGGAACTTGTAGACGTGTGTGAATAAAAATTATAACAAAGAAAAGGAAAAAGAAGTCCTAATTGGAAGGTTTTCCATTATACAAAGAGCAACCCACATCTTTGGAAGGATTTTAAGACCTGAGTAATGAAAAAGTAAAGTTAAGTTAATGGTTAGAAGCAAAATTAATATGCTGGAGGTCATGTAGCACTATAGGAGGTAGAGTATCGGGAAGGGTAGCGATGGGGGTGAGTTATTGGTTAGGTTTTATACGTCAGCAGCTATACAGTTGTAGGATGGTATTGCAAGGGTGTATATAGTTGGGTAGAGGTGGAGGGAGTGAGTGACTGGGTTAGGTTAGGAACAAACTGGAGAGGATTAGATCAAGTGAAGGATATGTATGTATCTGAGGAAGGAGAATAGGTTTTCAATGCAGAAAGTAGTTGATTCCATCAGGATGTTTGATAGGATGGGAGATCCGTCTCGGGAAGATAGGTGAGGAAAACAGCAATATGGGTTGTGGTAAAACGTGGACAAGACAACAGGATGTGTGAGACTGAAATGGGAAAATTACATAAGGAACATAGGGGAGGGTCAGATCATGACATTAGGTAGGAGTGTGTAAGGCGAGTATGGCCAATACGAAAGTGAGGTATAGCAACCTCCTAGCGTCAGTTTAATGCCTGCTCATTGCCTGGGATTCCGACATAGCTGGGCACCCAGCAACACCTGACAGATTTATAGCGTGAATGCAAGTAGAACAACCAATCCTGAACTGTTTGGCTCATCAGAAGAGAGGGAAAATGTGATGGGAGTGTATTTTTTGGTGGTCTTAATAGAAGTGAAGTGTGGAGAAAGATGAGAGCCACTACTAACTTGGCTGAAATAATCTAGTTCATTAGTGACTTGGAGAGGATCAGATATGTGAGTATCTGGAATATAGAGGACTGGGGCTGGATGGGAAGGATGTTTGCCTGATATCTGTCACCATATAGCAGATATAGATGTTGCAGATGTTTTGAGACATTTTCCAGCCAGTTGTTTTGCTATTTCAAATTCTTCATTGAAGGTCGGCAGATGCTTCTTTAAAGGAGACAAGGGATAGGTGGTTAGGAGTGTCTCGTTTATACCGGTAACTATTCCATGCTGTGCTTTTTAGACAAAGCACTTCAATACAGTCAGAGTTCCATCATGGAACACACTTAGATGTATAAGGTCTAGAGGTTTGGGGGATGGCTGTGTAGGCAGCTCTTAAGACTGTTGCTAAGAAAACTTGTAGCTTATCTGAAATGGTTGATGGGGATGGAAGGTGTGGCACAGTAGTGGGTGAAACAAAAGTTTGCCAGTCAGCTCTATTGAAGCACCATCTTAGGGGATTAGGAAGTGGGACATATGAGGTAGGAGAAAGGAGGATCAGAAAGTGGTTGCTATGGGGGCAGTGGTCCAAAACAGACCAATGATAGTCTAAATAGAGAGAAGGGGAACATAGAGGTAAAAGCATGAAAATGGAAGTGTTCAAGAGATCGACCAATGGAGGTTATGGTAGTATCACCCCAAAGAGTGTGATGGCAGTTGAAATCTCCTGTTAATATGAAAGGTGGTTGAGGTTGAGAGAGTAAAGTTTTGTAGTTGTTAAAGTCAATTGGAAGAGAAAGGAAAAGTAAACTGAAATTACTGTGATCAAGTGTTGAAGAAAGATGCAGATAATGGTGCAAGGGATAGTGGTTTGGAAAGGTCTAGTGTATGGAGTTTTTTGATGAATTAGCATTGATGATAGAGAGAAAGAGTGAGGGGCTGATACAAAATGATAATTTGTAATCTGTATTGGAGGATGTGTTTGGAAGGTTTCTTGACGACAGATAATGGATGGGTTGTAGTTGGATATGAGATAATGGAGATTAAGTCTGTGAAAACAGAAGCCTTGAATGTTCCATTGTAAAAAAGCCATGATTAATCAGTATGTGATAGTGGCAGACATGGTTATCTTAGTAGATTAGGTGTCTGAGGGTTGAGGTAAGGGATCAGGAGTAGGTGACTGAGTAGTATTCGGGGGTTCAATAGTCACTCTGACTGTAGCTCAAGTGGGGGTAGAGGTATTTGAGGGTGATTGAGAGAGAGGAGTATTTTCTTGGGTTATGCTTAGGAAGTTTTGGATGCCCTCAGGGGTTTCTGGAGAGAAGTTGGGCAGGGAGGTTTGGGAAAAGAAGGATCTTTTATGAGGAGGTGAAGAGTGGGTAGGTATTTGAAGAGAAGAAAATGTAGTTGCTGTGTAAGTGGTAGGTGAAGATGGGGTAGAACGTTTAGCTTGTCTGGTGCGTGGGTAAGGTGTGGAGTAGGCATCGGGGGAGTTGTGGATATTGGGGTATCTGGATTTAGAATGGAAAATAGATTTGATTGGGAGATAGGTGTAGATATGGGAAGGTGAAGAGTAAGGGGAAGAGGTATTGTTGAGGATATAGAATCAGTTTGGGTGGAGGGCAGAGTAGAGTGTTGGATAGTATTAGAGTAGGGTCTGATTGAAAAACGTTGATTGCGTACTTCTTGCCTGGGTTCTTGTAGACTAAGGCTGAGTTTGTATCTGAGAACTGCCACTTCTGATTCAAATTTATCCTATAAAATGCATTATGTGGGCCACTACACTTGGCACATTTGCACAATTGTGTAGGACAGTTTGCATGGTCATGGCCAGGTTGGGCACATAGAGGGCATCAAGCTGTTGGGTGACAGTGCTTTGCAAGATCGCTAAAATGCCAATATTGCTGTCATTGATGGGGAGGAGGTCGATATGGTCTGACTTGGTATGATTCTCCACCGATATAGACCTTATAGGGAAGGTCATGTCTACGGAAAGTAATCTTGGCAATATTAGCGTGGAACTTACTGTGACCTCTGGGAGGGCTTGTGTGGCACTGTACTGATATTGCATCATAACCAGTAAGGCAGCCAGGTAGGTCTTCACAGTCTAACCATTCCCTGTTATAGATAGGGCAATTAGTTGGGGGGATGGAAACAGTTCCTGTACATGTACTGAGAGAGGGGTGGGGTTGTACAGGGATAGGTTTACCAGTGAGGTCAACCAGGGTAGATATTGCATGGGCTTGAGACTCTGATGTAACTGTGACAAGGCAAGAACAATCAGGATGGCTGCGGAAGGAGACTTTGGCTACTTGTTTATATAGGCATTTTTGGAAAAGGGTATTGTCAGCGTACTGGGCTGTAGGAGGAATCACAAAAAATCTGTCGCACTTGGCTGGGCCAAACAGAGTATTCAAAAGGGTTGTAGAGGTGGGAATTGTAGAATGATGGTGTGGTGTGGAATGATGTAGTGTTGTGATGGGGAGGGCAATAAGGCTGAAGAGTTGCAACAAGGAAGGGGGATGTGGAAAATGGAGGTAGTTGTGTAGATGGGGTTAAGGATATTGGGGTTGAGGGAGGGGTGTTCTTTGGAGGTTGAGTTATCTGGGTAGATGATTCAGGATGGGTTAAGTTGATAGTAGGTTTCAAAGAGGGGGGAGTAGAATCAGTGGTCGAAGCTGTGGTCAAAGAAGAGTCAGGGGTCGGTAAACCATAGGAGTCAGTTTTAGGGAGATTATTTGATAAAGGGGCAAGCCTCAATGTCCCTAATAGGGGTACAAAATATTCATTACTAGCCATGGGAAGCCTGAGAAAAGTGGGGATGATAAACAGTCCACCCCTCAGGGTCCCATGAGGAGTAAGGGCTAGACAACTACCAAGGGAATACCATGCCCATGGCTCCCCGAGGCCATTCATGACTGGCACAAAGTCAGCCTTTCATCCTTTCAACATGACTCTCACATTTTAGGAATTGGACAGAGGAAGGGGTTGTTATGGAAAAAGGAGAAACAAAGGGCAAGGAATTGGGGGGGAGTAATGAGAAAGTGTTAATTAAGTACAACTTTTATTTACAACTTGATTACATATGTATTATACACATCTTTCTACAAATATGTTCATTTTGAGTTTAAACGCACTTCAGTTGTGTAAAACTTTTAGCCACTTTAAAATCATTACCCTGTAAACATTATCAAAATATTCAAACAGCCTTTGCATAATTTCTTTCTTCAAGTAAGTACCTATATTCAGTGGTAAAAAATCTTATGTCCAACAGTGAAGTTGAAACAGTGTGGCACATTTTATTAAAACAGGAATAAAATTCTGCACTTTCAACTGGTCCAGCAGAGCCAAAATGTGCATTCATATTGGTAGGCATGAAAAAGAGCCACAGGACCAAGCAGCTTTCATATAACTCACTGACCATAATAACTCATCAGTGTTTAGCACCTTGTTCCAAAATGACTATGTCACATTTGAAGACTTCTGAAAAGGATTTTAGGAAATAGGGGACAACTTCATCTACAGTAACATCCCTGCCCAACTCTTTACTCACTGACGTTACACCTTTATCTGGGATGCCACATGGTATTATATTATCATACCAACTTAGGTCTATATTGCAGTTCAGAGCAATGCCATGGGTAGTAACATGTCGACCTTGGATACCTGTAAAAGAAAGAAAAAATATTTTCATACTATTTCCACATAATATCTCCAACTGAGCCTAATTCATAAAGAAAAATATGAATGTTTAACCAGTAATTGCTGAGAATTATGTTTTAACTGTTACCAAAAGAAGGGCAGGTCTTTCTAAGGTATTCTTGGACTATCTAAATTTTGAAGGAGAGGGAAAAGGAGAAGGTCGAGGGAAAGGGAGAAAAAAAGAGAAACAAACTGAAGAAAATTAAAGCAGCCTTAAGCCCTAATGACTGTGCATCCTATACATAGGCAAGCTCTACTGAAGAGAAGGAAATTGTAAAAATATTCCCAAAGGACGTCTTGAAATGATGGTAATGATTTCAAATCTTACAATGTAGAAAGTGATTGACAGAAAAAATCATTTTTAAATATGAATTGAATTACCATACACCCAACTACTTGTTTAGTAGGGTCAAGTGCCACATCTGTGTCAGATTGTAAGCTATTTTTAAGGGATATAAACCAATATTTGTTCACTCACCCAATCAATCATCTTTCACCCAAACTCCAGTATGGGGTGAAGTTTCTGCAACAACACCAAAAGACCTACATGTGCGAATTACAGCTCTTTCCAAAGCACACACATACCTAAAAGTATGAAATAAAAAGGATCAGTGTTACAAGAATACCATTTTCATGTTTCATCAGCTATTTCATCCAGTTATTTTTATTATGATTACCTTTTGAGATGAGATCAAGTTTTATGCTCAGGATATGCCCCACACATCTTTTCCTTTCTTTCTATTCTCTTCAAAATGACATATTTTATAACTTTTATCATTATTCTTTTCAGCTAGCAATTCAGTCTGCTGGTACTATCATTATCATTATTATTATCCTCATTGTTAGCTATTTTATTATTATCATTGCCATAATAATAATTACAATTATAATTATTATCATTACTAATTTGTAACATTATTACTATCACCATTACTATCAACACCATTATCATCATTGTCATTATCTTCATTATTTATATTAGTTTTAACATTAATCTTATCCTTGTGCATCACACACTGGAAAATATGAGTTCCTGCAATCTGTGCTTGCCACTTAATTCATTTATGGAATAGAATCAGAAAGAAAAAAGAAAAGAAGAAGAAAAAAACATGTTATGACACCTAGATACATAGCTTATATACATCTCAATCTTCGGTCAACCACCTTGAAATCTATACACTAACACCTTTCATACCCACTTACCACTTTATTCCTGGGTTAAAGGAAGATAAATTAAGAATTGGATAAGCAGTCAGCTGTCCAGGCCCATGGAAAGTGATAAGGCCACCGCGGTTTGTGCGGTGGAAATCGGCTCCAAGTGCCTTTAATTTGGCCTCTTCCTCGGCAGAATACTCGTGGTCGCGAATGCCTGTTGTGTAAACTGTAAAGAGGGTACGAGCCATTTTGGTTGTAAGAATATCAAAGTAAGCTAAATGAAGTTGAAAGGAGGGTAGAATCTAGCATCAGTAAAAACCTCTTACAAATATTATCTTTAATTTCATCATATGTAGTGCTGACAAATATCTAAATTCCCTAATCCTGAAGTTTCACACACACACACACACACACACACACACACACACACACACACACACACACACACACACACACACACACACAAACACACACACACACACACACACACACACACACACACACACACACACA